CCAGGAGTAGAACAGCTGTAGCCACAGTGTGGGCAGGACATTTGGTTCTAGAACAATGTTGAGCAGTTGCCCTTTGCAGACTCATCCATTCTTGTCTCTATATGTGTCGTGTGCCAGATGTGTCAGTATTCAGGCCTCTGAAATGGGTATATTCATCAATATACTTAAGACTCATTGGAAAATAAAAGCTCCTAAAAAAAAAAAAAAGGGCAACATGTTTCCCTAAATTCATGTTGATCTTAGACCCGGCCTCCCATCTCAGAGACACTGCCACTATGAAATGCCACTGCTGCTCCTATTCTGAACCCTAAATGAAGGAAGCCAAAGTCCTGGCATCTTGTCTGACCTTGGCTAATGGTTTTCAGATGGACCGTGGATGCAAAAGGGCTGTGGGATATTTTCTTATGAAGTCAGGGGTTGAGGAGAGAAGGAGCTGAGTTCATTTTCTAACCTTGATTTCCCTGATGACTCACCCAGTGGTTTGGGAGCAAAATGCTGAGCCCCAGAGTCTCCACATCTACCACAGAGGTAGGTAACAGGACTCTTGCCCAATCAATAGGAGGATAGGAGCGTCTTAGTCCATCAGAGCTGCTATAATAAAATAGCAGAGACTTGGTAGCCTATGAACAGAAATTCATTTCTCCTAGTTCTGGAGGCTAGAAGTTCAAGATCAAAGTGCTGGAAGGCTCAGGGTCTGATGAAGCCTTACTTTCTGGTTCACAGAGGACCCCTTCTTGCTGTGTCCTCATGGAGTGGAGTGGGCTAACTAGTCCTTTAGGGACCTTTTTATCTGCCACTCATGCCACATGGGGTCTCTGTGCCTATGACCTGATCACCCCCCCAAGGCCCCCCTCTCCTAACATCATCACATTGATGATCGAGTTTCACCACACGAATTTGGGTAGTGAAGACACATTCAGAGCACAAGCAGGGAGAATTCCAAGAACTGCATTAAGCCAGTCACTGTCCGGGGAAGTAACTCATCCTCCAAGGCCAAATGCAATCTTAGTAATCTTTTGAAAAGTTTTCCTGATTTTAGAATTAACTCCCAGAAATTTAAATTTGCTCAGAGAGAAAACAAGAAAAAGGGATGCTGCTTTTGTCTGGAATTTCAGGACTTTCTTTGTAAGACTTCCAAATGCGAAAATATGGCTCCAAAGAACAGTGGCAGCCTATCCTTGGAACAGAAGCACTTACATTTTGTCTAATTGTAGCAATTTCTAGGAGTCATTGGGAAATGCAGCAGCTCATGAACATGGCCTGTTCTGTCAGACCCCTATGGGAATATTCAGTATTCTACTTTGTGTACTTATCAGCTGAGAGAATTACAGAAATATATTTCAGGAGCCTGTTGGTGACAAGAGTAAAGATATAAAAACTTTCTTTTTCCTCTGGATGGTCCCATCAGCCCCAAAGTGTGCTGTCCCTGGGTTAAAAGGGCTCTTGATTCCCAGCATGTTCTGACCTGGGACTCAGCTCTGCAGGACTGGGCAAGGCTTTCTTTCCCAAGTCCCACCCCTCCTGGGATTTCAGTGGCCTTCATTCAGACTGTGGTTTACAGGTGATCAGGTCTGTGGGCAGACACACATCTACTGACCTGGACCAGAGGACAAAAGACACAGGGTAAAGGACAATGACGGCTCACCCCTGCCTAGCCTTTCCTTTTATATTTAGTGTTTCTAAGAAGTGGTGGGAGGCTTTCTAGCTGGAGTAAAGGGCTCAGGTATACTACTTCTCAAACCATACTTTGGAGCATTCTGTTCCACACCCTTGATGGCTTCCATTTATGTTGACATATTGAAGACCCCGGATGTCCCAAGGTAAAGGGCCCAATTGTCTGTTTATCCCAGTGGTTCCCAGTGAAACTAGAGGGCCAGTATTCTGCAGGGCACCATGTACAGGATTGTGCACCTGGATTGACCTGAATGTTTTGAGTTTGCATGCAGCCAGGTGAACAATCTGGTATAAGTTTTCAACTTCTGCTTTTGTGACCTGGAGCAAGTTACCTAACCATGACATGCCTCTGTTTCCTCATCTGGAAAAGGGGATAATAGAATCCACTTTGTAGGATTATCATGAAAATGAACTGCTTTAATTACACTCTTAGCACAGTTTCTGAAACGTCATACATTCTATACGTGTTAGCTATAATTATTATTATTATTAGCGGAAGCATCAATTATTTGCTGCAAGCTTTTACCAGCATGCTACCGTGTTGCTACTGTCTTCCCTTTGTGTTATAGAGCCTGTGATAGGATAAGAATCCTACCTTGGGTGACAGATCACAAAGCAGCTTTGTTTTATTTAATCCTCACAACAGTCTTACAAAGAAGAAGTGATTGTTCCTGATTTACGGAAAAGGAAGGTGAAGCCTCCCTGGGTGGTAAAGAGACCCACCTGAGTCACACAACAAGTGCAATAGTCACATCCAGGCCTACTTCTCCAAACCCGCTGTCCCTGGGTATCTTTATAGAGCTGCCTGTGAACCAGCCCTTCATGGGGACCCAAAGACATGAGCCTGGCCCCACCTCTGGTATGGGCACTCTCAGATGGATCCTCCTTGTGTGGTCTAGGGAATCCTGCCAGGTCCTAATTCTACCCCTCCCTTGGTCCTTTCCTTTGTGCAGTTTACGTCTCTGACCTTTAGTCTTCTCTATTGTAAAGTGAGGATAGTCATACGCATTTCTCCTGAGGAGAGTGAGGTTAATGACATAATCATGCAAGGTTCAAGTACAAGACTTGGCACAGGTTAGTGCTCCATAAATCATAGCTCACAGTGACCTTGTGCATAAGGTTTTGTGCTAGGGTGCTTTCCATGGGTGACCTCCTGTATTTTTCATACCATCACCAAGTGGGTCCTCTTCATTTTTAAGATGAGGAAACAGAGGCTCTGTGGGATTAAGTGACTTGCCCAAGATGATCACACTGAGATTCAAACTCTGGCAGCTTTATCCCATAGAAATACTTTCTGTCTTGCTCTTCGACAGAGCCACATGCTTAGATGCATGCAGAATTTGTGTGTGACTACTTTCTGTGGTCAGAAGGGTCCTCCAACATTGGGCATTTTAGTCATATCTAAAATGTCATTTGGATGTCAACTTGCAGACAGAGTTCTAACCTAGGAGAATATAGCAGAAATGGGGTTCCGCTTTGCCAGGAAGGATGCACCCACTACACTGTTGGGTCTGGTAACTTCAAACAGATGCTGGGCCATTCCCGGGGCCCGCCTGGCCGGGGGAAGGGCCGCCCAAGAAAAACAACCAACTCCCCCAGTGAGTCTGTTTATCTACTTAACAGTCAAAGTGACCAAAAAAGACACTTCCTTGCGAGATGAACTGAGAGATTTCCTCGCTTGTCTTCCAGCCTACTAGGGGAAGAAACCCAGTGCATTATGGGACAAAGTGAGAGCACATCCGAATGCATTCTTAATATGACTTTTCTGGAGAAACTTTAGTTAACAATTTTAAAACCGTGCATACCCTTCAATCTGAGGGACAAGAGCAAAACAAATGACCCAAGGAACCAGCTGCAGGACACTTGAACAACAAAGGTGGGGGTTGGGGGCGGGAGAGTCCAAGATTACTAACATGCTTTGCCTACTAATTGACTTTCAGCATCAAGGGTAAGAACTCAGGTGGCTTAATCAGGGAGTATTGATTTGGATCTGCTGAGCAGTTGGAATGCTTTCCTTTCCTGGTCATGAAAGTGCTCAACTGGCTTTGAACTTGCTCAGTGGTGCGTTACTTGCAGCTGGCCCCTGGCTGTGAGGTCCCTCAGTTCAGGAATGAGGTTTGAGGCAGCACTCTTCATTTGAAGGATCTTCCTGGGGGAATAGCAGGTTCCACTCTTCAATTAAAGCACTTTTCCCCATGATTTCCCTCTTTTTCCTTCCTTGACTCAGGATCCAGGGCTGCATCCCTGTTGGGGAGGGGTTTCTATCTAAGGTCACCAATATAAAAATGTGTCCAGACTCAGATGGCCCCCCCAGGGATGGACAGGTACCACTTGGAAGCCAGGGGGTTGGGGTTGAAGGCAGAGCCAGGGTAAGTAGGAGAATGGGGAACCCTCATTCCTTCGTCCACTCAGCATATTGAGCACTTGAGGCATGGGTGAGAGATCAACAAGGTCAACTAGAAACGAAGTCATGTCACAGACACTGAAGTGTGGGAGCAGCAGATGCACTGAGATGACTGGGAGCCACCGACCTGCATTGATGCCAGTGTTCTTGGAATTGCCCACTCTACCAGGTTAGTAGGGAAAGCACTTTCTTTTTCCCCTCCCTCCCAACCTAGCATCTATCCACTGGGACCCCAGGAAATTTATTTAACCTTTGTCCCTTGGATGCAAGAGTGAACACAAGAAATCCTTAACTCCATTTTTATTCAGTTTTTGGACAGAAGGAGGGAGACCAAGTCTTCAGGATCCAGTCAGTCTGAAACGGGTCTGTGTGAATCTTTGGTTGGCTTTTTCCTTCAAAGGTGCTCAGCCCAAGATTCCAGGGCTGGAACCACCTGGCAAAGGTAGATATGGACAGTGAGGGTCGAAGTGCTTGACAGGACAGGTCCCATAGAGAGCAGGTAGACAGAAGGGTTCAGCTGTGTAAAGAATACTTCTTGGTGCATACATAGCGTTTCAGGGAAAAAAAAAAAAAAGGAAACAAATAACCCTGAGAAGCAAGGCAGGAAATCCAGGGCAGACATTCATTCATTACTCATTCACTTAGTCACCAACTATTTCTTACATACCTCAATCCAAAAAAGCATGGTTTCTGGAGCCAGACTGTCTGATTTCAAATCCTGGCTATTTTATTTATTCTCTGTGTAACCTTGAGCAAGTGACTAAATTATACTCTGTGCCTCAGTTTCTTCATTTATAAAATGGGAATAATTTACTATCATTCAAAGAGGTCGCCATGAAGACTTAAAGAGACTAAGAGCCACATGTATTTGTTACTAGTATCTTTTTGTTCATTTACTCCTTTTTGTCCTTAGTCTTTGGGGGGGGGCATGGGCCTGGTGTTGGGTGTACAGCCAATGGAGGCAGGCAAAGTCCCTGAAGTTACCAAACTAATGTCCCAGCAGAAGAGTCAGGTTATGAAAAAGCAAGTAAGTGATGACATTATATACTTTAAGATAGTGATAAGCACTGTGTAGGTATCAAAAGAGGATGACCGGAAGCAGATGATTGTTCTGAGGACCCACGCCTAGAGAGGACAAGGAAAGAGGGACAACCGGTAATCCACAGGAAGTTTGTTCTGTCTTGAAACAATCTGTCAAGTCTTTGGAATTTACAAAAATAAAATGAAAATGGAGAAAATACTCCTTGAGTATTTTCAAGAGAGGCCAGCAGAATGAGCAACCCCAAAATAAATACAGCTAAATCAAGATTGATTCTGGGGCCAAATAAGCTTCAAGATAATTACTTCTCCTGGTAACGAATCATTATGGCTCACAAATGAATCCATCTTTTCATGTTTTCAGTCGAAAATGTCCTTGCTAGATGGATTAATCCTCCTTTGCACCTCACTTCCTTCACCTGATCCCCTGCACCTCTCCTTGAATTGAAATTAAAGGCCATTCATTTGGAAAAACCCATTAACTCCCTGCTTGTAGATGGCTTACTTTCCACTCAGCATGGATGGGTTCCCCCTCCTCCTGAGTCTCTGCTGTCTCCATCAGTGTCCCTTTTGGGCCCGTGGTCGGGGCAGGAAGGCTCAGGAATATTCCATTGGCTCTTATACTCTTCCTAGTTCCTTGGTTAGGCAGGACATGGGAACCTAAGAGACATGCATCCCTGCTGGGCTGAAGCAGAGGACCCTTGTGGGCTGGTTCAGTCTTCTGAAGGTGTGGTGCAAGATGGCGGAGCTTCCGTCCACCTGGGCCCTGGAGTGGGCAGTGGAGTGGAGCTCTCCCTGTTTCTTCATGGGTCCTTAACTTCCTGGTTCCTCAGGGGCCTCATAATAACTGGCTCCTCCTGAATTTTGTAGGTGTTTATAAAACCTCTTAACAAATGATTTATTCAGTTGTGGATAGGTCTGTTCCCAAATAGTTTTCTCTGTTTTTTTGAAAGTTGATTTTTTTTTCCCCCTTTCTAAAAGTGCTTCTGAAACCCCTCGCTGTCTTGGTCACTCATTTTTTTTTCTTTAATGTTGCCATTCCCTGAAATTGTCATATTCATATATTTACATATCATTTGTGTCTTCTTTCTACTGTACTGAATCCTCTGTGCCTAGAACAGTTTCTGACAAAATAGGTACCCAATAAAGTGTAAAATAAATGAATGAGTGCATATGAGTCACCAGGGAGGACCTCACCCCATCGTCATGTCTCCTGTTCCCTTCCTGGTGTTTAGGGCTGGGCTGTGTCAACTCATTGAGGCAATGGGAGTATATCCTTAAGATGATGGACTTCAGAGCCGGACTCCCCAGGCTCACAGACAGCATACTACCTCAGTGACCTTGCATACATGAATCTGGGTGCCTCGGTTTCCTCATCTGCAGAACTTACTGCCCAGGTAGGGCAACATTCTCAGAAAAGTGTTTCATTGATAGTAAGAGCCATGACCATTTCTACCAAGTGTTGGAAAAGAACATTAGCCTGTCCCCTCTCTGGACCTTCAGTAACCTGGGCACCTGACCTCACTGCTCACCTGAGGTTCACTGGAGTCCATTCAGCAGGAAGGTACGACCACACCATCCCCAGCCCTTAAGCCCAGCAGGTATGGACACTCAAGGAGGGGTCCCAAGGAGAGTAGCCACCCAGGCTGGGGACAGAAGGTCTTCCCTCCAGGTTGGTGTTCTCTGGGGAAGTCTTGCCTCTCAAGCCTCTGTCCTCACCACAGCCCTTCAGCAATATTTCCATATTTTTATTAAACACCAATGTGCTGGCCAGATGAGTGACACTTCCAGTGACGGGGCTTTGCTCTGCTTCTCGGGGCATAGAGAACTTGTTCAATTACGTGTCACCCCTGTGATGAGCCCAATCACAGGCACACACATCAGCTTCTGATTATAACCTTGTTGTGCTTCTCTTGACAGGAAGGAAATGAATTTACCTCATGTCACCCCTGTAGTTTGCAAGCAGCCTTGGCTTTGGAAAATAGCACCTTTCACGTTTCCACGTTTTTCTAAGGAGGAAACGTTCTTGTGGGGGTCAGTCTTGGGGGCCTGAACAACTGAGCCTGGAGGTGAACTCCAGGTGATTCCTTAGAGTGATGGTGGCCCCTGGGGGCTTGTGGAGAACTGTCTGGGGTGTGGGACTCCTCCTGTAAGGAGTCCTGTATCCACAGTCTTTGGGTCTTTGGGTCTTGCCTCATAAAGGTCCTGCACAAATCACTGTGTCTTGCTCAGCCTTCCCTCCTGCCTGTGGAATGTGTGTGGTAAGGCAGTTATCGCACAGTGGGGGGTGTGCTATGTGAAAACAGTTCATATGCAAAGCACTCAGCACCATGCCTGGGATATGGTAAGTACTACATGTGGGTTTTCTAATTATCAAAATAATTAAAAAAAATAGTTTTGTTATTGTTATGAAAGGGGCAGAGCCTGGAGGTATGTCTTTGTCATCTAGTAGCCATGTGACCTTGGACGTATCACATCACCCCCATGGGCCATTTGTGAAATGAAAGAAGAGTGGACTGACCGTCCTTCAGGTTGGCTCTGAGGATCTCAGTGAATGGGCCCTTGAAAAGCGTCTAGACAGTGGGGCAGGGAGGAGAGGACTGTGGCTGGTAGCCACATTTGATTGTTGCTGGTGAGGCCCATCCCACACCCAAGGGGAAGGTGGTTTGCTGGGAGGCCCGAGAAGCTGGGGTAGGGTGAGCTGAGTATCCATGGTGGTTGATACTAAGGACAGAAGTCTCACTTTCCATTTGGGACAGTGAGCTTCTTTAGAGGAGTTATCTCTAACGTTACCAAATTCCATGGAATCCTGGGACTGGCTGAGGACGGGGTGGGAATGATGCTGCTGGGGTCCTGGGCAACTTTCAAAGCTCTCAGGAAGGGCCCAAATTCCTGAGGGAGGGCAGCATCCCCTCTCCTGCAGACTCACCCTCTCCATTAGGACCCCCATCAGGAAGCCACCTTGCCCCCCCCCAGTCACAATCACTTTGGAGCCAAGGAGTCTGGGGGATGGACCCTGTCCAAAGAAGTGTGACCACAAGTCCAGAAAGGGCTTTTCTTTTGACCAGGAGAGAATGAAATTGCAGGGACCTCTGCTGAAAAATAAACCAATCTTTTCTCAACCAATTCCTTGAAGTTTTTTGCTGTTTGGTTTTTAAACTCCACACATTTTCTGCCTCTACTTAATTCCCAGGGGCAATGTCACCTTGCTGAGGAGAGCCCCTGTACAGAGGGAATAGGGAGACTCTGGGAAGTTCTGGACTTTTGATCCAATTTCAGATTCAAAGATTGAGTGGGGTGCAACCTCTGGCCCTTTCTGGTCTTCTGGGGTCTGCAGGGACATGAGACCTACCTGTGAAGCTGCACTCTCCAAGGAGCCCACTAGGCCTCTTTGAGGTTTGGAGCTCAAGGTTGCTGGATCATTCTTTGCCCTCTGAGGTCATAGCTTCAGCCCAACCCAAACCCATTGGCTACAATAAGAGCCCTTGCTCCCAAGCCTACTGTGTTTGGGGGACCTGGGTCTGGACCTGTGAGGGATGGGTCCTTTAGAAATTTGGGCAAACTAAGCAAATGGCTATGTCTCTCCACAGTGAAAGTGAATGGGAACAGGGTGGTGGGGGAGAGTCAGATAGGGACAGAAGAACATGCAGACAGATGGAGAAACAGAGAGTGGAAGAAGAGTCAGGAAACGAGACAGACAAATTCACAGAAGGGAAAGTAGAAAATCATCCTCATGACACGTCTCATTCAACCCTTGTGACAATCTTGTGAAGGAACCTCAACTTTCAACTTCATTTTATAGCTTTTTTTTTTTTTTAAGGCCTGGACATTCAGAAAGGTCATTCATGTTTATCTAAGGTCACACAGCAGCCAGGCATTGTGTGCAACACGATATAATCCCATTGACTGGAATGACTGAGATGGGAGGATTTCAAGATTGAGGCCAGCCACAGCAATTTAGTGAGGCCCTAAGCAACTTAGGGAGACCCTGTCTCAAAATGTAAAAAAATAAAGTGAAAGTAAAAAGTTCTGGGGATGTAGCTCAGTGGTAAATCCCCAGTATCAAAAATACAGCACACAGCTTTTATGGGGGAGTCAGGCTGGAACCCAGTTCTACTTAATCTGACCTGCAAAGCTCCTGTGCTTAGCCCCTTGAATATCCTTAGAAACCACAACCCTGAGTCCTCAAGCAGAGGTGAGCATCTCTGAGTCCCCTGCATGCTGACATTAGTGGCACAAGTCCGTTTGTGGAGGGACCTCAGGGAAGGCAGGTGGGTGGTGGGTTTTGGACCTCTCTCCCTTGGTTTCTTTTAGGATGCTCTAAGCGACAGGTTACACAAAAGCATTTTCCCCACAATAAGAAGCTCAGGAGCTGCTAGTGTGAGTCTAGCTGCTGTGTCACATGAAGGCTGATGTCTCTAGTCTAGACTCTCTCACTTTTTGACACATGGGCAGCTTTAGACTTTGGGTGCATTTCAAGGCAGGAAAAACACAGGGGAAGGGATGCATCAGAGTCAGCCCCTCCCTCCCCATTCTTACCCAATTTCCTTCCCTGAAGTGTGTGTGGCTGGAAGGCGATCCTGAGCTCTCCAGCCTCTAGGACAGGCAGGCTGGGAGCCCCCCAAGGATGAGCCAAACAACCATGTCTGCCATATTCCAACAAACCACCGTAAGCCCAAATCCAGCAGTAACCCTGGTGGAGGGGAGCATCCCATTCTCTTGGATGTTGTAAGTGTGCCCTTGATTTTAGACACTATTCTGAGCTGACCTGGGCCCAAGGAGGTGGAGGAAGGCAGAGAATTCAGCTCTGTCCCACCCTGGCATTGCTGGATGGGGGATGATCGCAGTCCCATCTGTCATGTCTAGAAACCAAGGCTGGCATCTCCCAGCTCAGTTCCTGCTTTCCCCGCTGCTGTCTGCTCAGCCCTTCTCCCAGGGGAGGTAGCTGATCAGATCAGCAAAGGAGCAGAGCGGTTGGGAAGGGGGAGGAGGAAGAATGAACGCAGATTTGACAGAATTTTTAAAAATATTATTTTATTGATTTGGAAGAGACACAGGGGATTAAATGGAAGAGATGGGCTTTGAGGAGAGACTCAGCTGAGATGGTCATCAGAGTCGACCTCTGCTTTGATCAGAGTGTCTATAGACCCATGTTTCTCACCTGGTTTTCCTATTGCCCGGATGTGGGGCCTTTGTAAACATCTATTTCCTAATCATCCCCCAATGAGGTTTCACTTCCATGTGTGCCTTCTGTGTTTACACATGTCATGTGTATTTATGCTTCTACATGAATGCAGGAAGTTTTTTTTTTTTATTCTTCAAATACCAACTTTTGCCTGTGTAGAGGAGCTAACTGCCCCATTGAGAATGTGTGCATTGGACACAGTGCTGGGGACATGTCTGGTCTTCCTTGGGGAGGGTGAGAGCTCTCTCTGCATCCTCTCAGCTCAACCTTCCATGGAGAAGCAGGGTTGGGAGGTGTCTCACACTTCTTGAGCACCTACTATATGAGAGAGACCAAACCTGGAGCTATAGACTTAGGTGCTTACCTGCTGCTCATGGCTACTGAGGTGTCAGAGCTGGGACCCCATTTCATAAATGAGGTCATGGAGATTCAGAGGTTTGTCCCTCCCTGAAGAAGCCCACCTTGTCCAGATGGATGAGCTAACACTGTTCCTACAGTGGGGTGGTCAAGTGTCAGAGCTAGTAGCTTGAGGAGAAGCAGATGGCTGGAGTCCACAGGGGCACTTCCTGGAGGAGGTGGGATGTGAACTTGACCTTAAAGGAGAGTCAGGCACAGACCTGAGAAGGGATTACTCCAAGCGGGGAACACAGCAGGAGCAAAAATGTAGGCCCTGTAAGAGCTTCTGGCTACAGGTGAGGACCCTCATTTTAGAGCTGAGAAAGGCCAAGACAGAGCCAGCGCAGGTGGAGCAGAGACCTCCATTGACTTGTTCATGCTACAGGCCACTGACCTGAGGATCCAGCCTGAGTATCCTCAGCACCATTTCCATGAGAAACAAAAGACAGGAATCTGGGGTTCCTAATTAAGCAGCTCCTAGACATTGAAAGATCTTTTCAGAGTATCCTGATAGAGGAAATCTTTGGGAAAAAAAGTCGAGTTTATGACCAAAAAGTGGCAAGAATCATTCCCAAGACCCTTCCAGCTCACTCACTCTTCCCTTCTAGATGCTTTGTAGTTGCTTTTACTGATGTGATTGTATCAATAAGGAAAGGCTTCAAAAACAAAAGTCCCCCAAGCCTCAGAGGTTATTGCCACACACCTGTATTCCTCACTCATACTTTATGCTCTCTCAGCTTGTACTGAAACCAAGTTTCTGAATCCTACTTTTCCCACTCAGAACCCTTCATTCCAACATGTGCTTCTACAATCACTGTCATAAGGAAAGGAAACACAAGGAGTTGTGCATAGCCCTTAAAATCTCTGCTGAGTTGTGGTACTTGCCACTTCTGTTGACATTTCATTAGCTGACATTGATCACGTGGCTCAAAGTAGCTTCAGAGGAAGAAGGGAAATGCAATCCTGCTGTGTGCCCCAAATGTGAAAAGTGGTAAATATTTGTCAATACCACCAAGAATAGCCACAATGATGATAATAAATGAAGAAAATATTAAGTTGATTTCTCATAATTCGTTCCTCTGTTTCCTTTCTCTCTAAAGCACTTTGATGATCTCTCCATATTAACACTCATGTCATGCTGCTTGGTAAGTATTTATTTGTTAACCCAAATGAAGTCAAAACTCCTAAGGGCAAGGCAAGGACTATGTTGAGGGAGAGAACTATAAATATTTATTGAGGATCTACTCTCTCTACCAGGCACAATGGTAGGCAGATGGCAAAATCCCAGTGTCTTAAGGTGGTTGGTGGGTCTAGTTTAAGGTGCTGGGCGACTTGTTTCTGGATTCTGGAACGCCCTGAGCATACCTTCATCCTTCCACTGACTAGTCCAACTGCTTGTCAATCACCTCTCTAAGTGAGAAGAGAACGTGGGAGAAGTTTCCAGAAAGAGATTGGCTGTGAACCAGTGACCTAGCACAGGCCCCACAAATAGCAGGTGCATTCTTGACCTTCCTAGTGCTTTGTTTTTTGACAATGGTTCATTCATCCTCTATCTCACATGCTCCTTTAAGTAGGGCAGATATTGTTAGCTCATTTCGACAGATGGGACCACAGTCTCCGAGTTGGCCCACCA